TGAGTTGAAGTTCCTCCCTAAACATGTGTCTTCCTGTAGCCGTTTTTAATTTGTCTAGATTGTATGTTGGTCGTTTGGTGTTTCGTGTGATTTTGTTTTTTGCCATTTTGATTTTAATGGTACCGATTACAAGATGATGGTCACTTGCGATGTCTGCTCCTCTTTTGTTACGTACATCAAGAAGAGATGATCTCCATCTTTTTGATATGGCGATGTGGTCTATTTGATTTTCTCTTATATGACCTGGTGCAGTCCATGTAACCTTGTGAATATTTTTATGTGGGAAGATGGTTCCACCAATAACTAAGCTATGATTGGAGCAAAAATTTGTAAAGCGCTCTCCGTTTTCATTCATCACTCCCAGGCCATGTTTGCCCATTACGGTTTCTAAGTTAATATTGTCTTCTCCAACTTTAGCGTTCATATCGCCCATCACTATTAGTATATCGCCTTGGTTTACTTGTTGGGTCGTTTGTTCTAGTTGTTCGTAGAATATGTCTTTATCTTCGTGGAGAGATGTGTTCGTGGGAGCATAGCACTGAATCACTGTTATCTTGCGGTATCTGGTATAAAATCTGGCAATCATAATTCTATCATTGATTGGTTTCCATGAAATGAGGCTTTTTTTGGCTTGTTTGCTGAGTAGAAGACCCACTCCGCTCTCGTGATTTCCATTTTCTTTACCACTGTATAATAGGAGTTCTCCTGTTTGGGTATGGTGTTCACCATTTCCCAACCATCTTACTTCCGATAGACCAACAAAGCTTAATTTATACCTGTTTAATTCTTTTACTGCTTGAGCTAGTTTAGAAATCTCATACAGAGTTTTAACATTCCAGCAACCAAATCGTGTCCGTGTTTTCGGTGATGCCAAGGTCGTCAACATTTGATCCGTCCGGTTTGTTTCTACCAAAGTTTCAGTAATATGATAAAATTTAAGATGGGTAGGTTATTGGCCTTCCGCACCCGAGTCTGGTGCCGGGGCTGCCGACTGTAGCGTCCAGACAAGCCTCAGGGGGTAGTGGTCCTGGAGGTGGCAACGACATTTCCTTCGTGCGAGATGTTAAGGTTATACCGCCTATACTCGGTCAGAGAAGAATATGAAGTAAAAAGAAATATAGTGACCCGTCTGCTTTCGGAAACCTAATCGCCATTCGGGGTCGGAAGAAACAAGAGTTAGCCAAGAGAGGCTGATAGAAAAGATTAAAGACATTTCACTCAAGACAAGTTGAAGAAGAGTAAAATGTGAAGGCCCTTATGATCCGCCAGGTGCGTTTCATAAGAGTATGAGTATTGATGCACTTTGTGTTCCCGCTCATACTTCGGGGTGTTGACTACAGACTGTATGGCTCGTCCAGCATGCCATAGCATGAAGGATAGGGTACACGTCATTTTACATTGCAGGCAACCCTAAATCCATGGCTGACCCTAATCGATCCCACCGTAAACCGATAATCTCAACGGAAATAAGGGCTCGTGCGACAATCGTAGCGAACTACGATTGCCTAGTAAAGTCACATTGTTTTGAGCCTTTCGACTCTAGGAAACTCCAAGATCAACTCAAGATTTTGATCGTTCTCAAAATACAAACAGTAAATTCAATTTACTCATTTGTATTTTGAGAACGATTTCCGAAGGGAAATTGAAACGTCAATAAACGTATTTTTATCTTTAATTGTGGCTTATTCCCAGTTTAACAGGATGTTTAAGTTACGCCATGTTACCAATTCCAACGGTAATTCTGTTAAAAAGTTACTTCTGTTTATTTGCTGTCTCATAGTTAACCAATAAAATGAAATAACGCAAACTAAATCTTGTTTAAGTCTTTCCAAGCTTGAAACAAATTATTGTAGGTAAATAGTAACAAATATATATATATATATGTAACGACTAATAAAAAAACAAATGCAGTCCCACCAGGAATTCAATTGATCAATACAAATATATCAATAGATAGGAAAATAATATTCACAAAGTGTTACTTATTCTAATTTTAAAATTACAAATCATGAAACAGTTATAAATTATTTTATTCATATATGCATATGAGAATAATTTAGAAGAAATTCTATCCTTCTAATTCTAAAAAATGTAAATAATTTTCTTGAATAACCAGTAAAATCTTTTTTTTTGACAAAAAGTCATAAGAAAATAATTAACTTCTGTTTCATGTTACTACGGTTTGAGTTGTATGTTTTTGAACTCTCTAATTTATTTTCATTGACAGTGTTAAACAACACTTCCGGGTATCATTCTGTTTGTAAAAATTCTGTTTCTGTTTGCTATTTTTGTTTGTTTGGTGGTAATACTACTGCACAAAGTTCTTTTCAATATTTATCACTTATCTCAGAGTTCTTCACTGGAGTCTATAACTTTCTTTTTGGTAAATTTACTGAAGGTGCTGCATCTTTTTTAAGCATACTTTATTGTCCTAGATAAACAAGACAGTAACAATGTAAAAAATTAGGATAAGGATTTTTTTTAATTACCTAAACTTGTATTGGTATAACTTTCATTTAAAAAGTATCAGTAACAGATTTTTGTGTGCTTGCTGATACTTTTTTCAGACTTAAAAGCGATCAACCATCGTTTTTGTAAAACTTTATTCAATGGAATTTATGAAACATAAAAATTTTCAGGTAAATTTTTTTAAAGTTGAATGGCATTGTAGCACACAACAATTGTAAGGTATATTGTTAAGTTTTAGTAAAGTGACCAAAACATTAAAATGTTCTAAATAACTTATAAAAACTTAAATCACTCACATAAATGCATACCAACTAGAAAATTAGTACCAAACAATGCAAAGAAATGACAGAATAAAATAAGGTTATGTTTTAATACCAAACTCTGACCCCAGCACTACCTACATGCATGTGATCTAGTGACTGTTTAAATGCTCCCTCTTTGGAGTTGCTCCAAACACAATTCGTGGACCAAACCTTTAAAATATATTCGTCTTCTATCGGTTTGTTGAATTTTCCCAGAATCACGATTTAAAATATATTATATCATTTTAAATTGATCTAAATCTGCGCACAATTTATCGAATACATAACCTTCAGATTTTGTAGCATTTTAATTCAACCATTTGCGGTTTTACTATTTCTGGGTCATCTCCGTAATCGTTTTGCATGCTTTTTTCCTTTTTTTTTATAAATATATGAAACAAGCGCGCCTTCATAATTATAGCCAAACAAATTACTGCTTACACCTCTAACTTTTCTATTAACGAACTTAGGAGGAAGTTTGCCACTTATTCTTCATAATGTGACTAATACGGCCGATCTTTTTTCTTTTGGAGTTTGTAATAATTCAACATCAATGAACCAATTATTATCGTATACTATGATGTAGCGCATTGACCCAAATAAAGGTTCTACAAGTCTCATAACCACATCTTTTGGCTTATTTCTGAGCATGTAACGGCTCTCTAGCTGTTATCCTATATAAATGTGGCCTGCATAAATCTCTAAATTATGGAAATATAAAGCTTTGGAATCAACAAAAGCAGAAATTTTAATTCTGTATTTATTTTGTTTTGATGGTATATATCGGATAAAGGAACATTTGTATCGAAAAACTTTTTATTCACAGTAGTTATATTTGTTCCGACTGAATAACTCTTTTGACAGTTACAAGTAAGTAAAAAATTTCTTGGACAGCTGCTAATTTACCGCAATTCGTTTTCACTTCTCGAGTCTTTGTGTTATTGAATCGCGTACATCTGATCAGGAACTTATAATAATTATATACAGATTTGTCAGAATAAGATAGCAGATCGCTGATGTTAACTGGTAAGCTAATATTGAGATCAATTAAACCTAAATATAGGCTTCAAGTCTGTTCCCTATGATTAGGACAATCGAAAAATAAGTGGTTCAAATCTCCGATAGATGTATTATTACAAGGACAGAAAGGAGTTTCGTAGATTCCAATCGTATGCAGATTCTCTGGAAAGAGGCCATGGTTAAGTTTTAGCCGCGTTATTAACGACGAATGTACTTTATTAAAGTTAAAATTAAAATGGGGAATATTTTTTGGCAGCATGGATAAATAAAAAAGTAATGGTTTTTTGAAGTCTTCTGAACCTCTTTATAGTTTGACATCCATCTTTCCCTGCCAATACTCCTGATCATAGAAAAAAGATCTTAAGAAATGTGGTAGTAAAAATTTGTAATGTCGGATATTGCAGATGTATTTTTTGCCATGCTGTCAACTAATTCGTTTCCAGTTATTTCATTGTGTCCTAACCAGAGTAAAGTAACTGTTTTTTTTTTGAGTTTTAGATCATGTAATATTTTTTTGATATCAAGTATAATGGAGTTTTGAAACCTATCTAATGGATGGCTACGAATAGCTTGTAATACTGCCTGAGAATCTGATACTATTACGATGTTCTCACAATAAGTAGTGACACACCAAGATATGGCACACCTTTCTGTATAGCAGCAGCCTCGGCTGTAAAAATAAAACAACATTCAGGAATTCGATATTTCTCAACATAATTGCTGTTTGAAACAAAAAAAAAAGAAACCAGTACTTTTAACAGTTGTTGATCCATCTTTTTAAATTATTGTTAAATCTTACCCTAATTTGCTTAGTATGGATTTGAATATCAGGTTAGTTAAAATTGGCAAGTCTGAATAAGAGGACATTATAATGGTTGGATTGTCTATCAGAACTTCAAACATCTTGTACGTAAAAAGGAAATTTTGTTAGCTGTAATATATAAGATTGAAATGAATTCGTATCGATAAAAGATTATGCGAGAGGTGGAGAATTTTTTATTCTCCAATAAGGATTTTCTGAATGTTATATTTTCTGATGCCATTATTGCTTTGATTTTCTTCTGTTTCTCGTATATTGGACATTTTCTAGGTCCAAGGTTGGTCACCCAACGAGGTGTGATCGTTGGTTTTACAATATATGCAATGATTACTTTCATTACAAGTTTCTACAGTATGGGTGGTGTTTGTACATTTTTTACATCTACTGTCTTAAGATTTACATTGTTTTGAGGAGTGACCATATCTGAGACATTTATAGCATTGCACTACCGGATGTATGTATGGATCTACTGAAAAATTGCATAAATTAATTATTATGTTTTGTGAAACCTCGTTGCCCAAAAATTCTACAATTATCATTTGTTTTGGTACTAATTGAGTTGTGCCATCGTTGTTCGTTATTTTCCATTGCATCCTTTGAACATTTACCACTTGTCTCTCGGATATTATCGCATCCTTTAAATAATTATCCGAAAAGAAATTATCAATCATACGAACTAGCCCCTTTCTATGTGTATAAAATTTTGGAATGTACGCTATAAAACCATTTTTAATTATTAAATCACGATTATTTATTTTATTTGCTATAGAATAAGATTTAAAAATGACTTTTAAACCCCCTCTGTGGCTCAGTGGTAAGAGCGCCTACCTTTGAACGTAAAGGTTGTGAGTTCGAATCGCACCTGGGTGGAGAAATTTTCGTTTATTAAAAATAATAAATGAAAATAATTTCTATCCTTGTACGATCGTTACTCACCGGAGGGACTGCAGACGTTCGGATACAATTAGCGTCTCTTAGCAAAGACAATGACGTCGACTTCGCTAACTATCAAGAAAATTACTCTACACCTACACACACACTACACTATGTACCTGACTGTAAAAATTCACTGTACCATGCCAATGACCATTAGTTGTCGACGCATTAATAAACTTATTTAAAAAAATGACTTTTACCCTATTAATGCCAACTGTTTTTATATCAAGTACATCATTTTTAATGAACAAATCATTTAATGAAAAATGTCCTACCTTCATTGGAAATAACCTACCGATATGTTTATTTTTGTGTTCAATATAAACAAAGAATGGAGCCTTATGGCTGGGTTTAACTAGGTTTTCAAAATCAATTAAAGTACTTACCGACCTGTTATCATCCATATTAGTTTTTTCAGAAGTGTTTTCAGAATGTAATTCATCGGGCAGTCTATGGCCTGTAATATCCTCTTCTTCCATAATTAGATTTTTTGGAATACCAAATTATGAAACTAATTTGCACTAAACAAATTTACCCAATAACACAATAGCGATCACTTTTAAACTCGCACCGAAAGCAATGTCAAAACAAACCGTCTTCTACTGCTGACGACACGATACTGGATAAGGAACTTTTTAAGTTCATTACAAGATGAAATATTTCTATTTCTATATTTCTAGGCACGCCCGTCTTTGCTCCATAACTCTTCTAACGACTATATATTCCTCCTGAGATCCCCAGCAAGGTATACAGCCCAATGTACATAACTACGTCAGTAGATTTGGCATCCCTTTATATTACGCATTTTAAATTTTGTCTTCACTTCTTCTCCAAACCATGGTGTTTTTTTATTTAATGTGTTGGTGCTCGTAACTTTTCTTTTTGCAAGTGACTCTATTCCAGCGTTAATTATGTAATTGTTGAGTTTTCCCAGATTTATTTGACGTTATTGTTTTCTAATACTTCATTCCCAGCGATTTTCTCTGAGAGTATTTTTCTGTATTCTGTGAATTCCGTATTACATCCTTCGATTTTAATTTTTGTTTGTAATGGGGCCACTCTCTTAAGTGTAAAGTATTGAAGGATAATTATTATTTTAGATAATAGTAGGCTATGGCCGCTACCTACATCTGTTGAGTTAAGCCATCTTATTGTTGACTACTTTTGTCGGATTTATATCTCTGTTGGTTATCACATAATCTATCATATTTCTTTGTCCACGGGTGTTATTGAATATATATTTCAGTTGGTTCAAAAAATGTATTCTGACCTTCGAGGCATCTGCTCTGAACAGTGATTCATGCAGAAGTTTAATATCAGTTCTCTATTTTCGTTTTTAACATTCTCGTTATGTTTTTGCTTTATCCCGGATATTACTTGATTGCCTATTCGAGCGGTAAAATGCCCCAATATTATCATTTTCCCTTTGATTTGATCTGCTGCTTGTAATTCGTTATAAACTCCTTTTCCTTGTTATTTGAAACTTGTTATTTTCTGAGCAGTCCACTTCGATGATGTTTAGGTCTTTCTTCTCTAGTCTTACCTTTGCCGTTAGAATCTATTGCTAATGTATATTAATACTCTTTAATATGTTCTTTCTTTATTTTTTGTTTTGTGTAGAGCGCAAATGTCTCTTTGTTTCATTTTCAGCACTTTAGTCGTTTCTTGGTCACAATATCAATCCGGTTCTGAGGCTATACATTGTTTCTTTGGGCAGTATTCGTTTTTAACATTGGTAGGTTGCTACAATAATTATCAAACAACCGAAATAAGAACTAGGATAGAAATAGCAAAAAATGCGTTGGTGAAAATGGAAACAATTTTCTGCAACATCGATAATGGATTAGAACTGAGAGTAAAAGCACTGAGATGCTACGTGTTTTCGATACTGCAATATGGACTTAAAAGCTGGACATTGAAGCAATAACACATAAATAAGTTACAGTTCTTTGAAATGTGATGTTACAGGAGGATGCTTAGAATAGCAGAGACACAGAAGGAAACTAACACGGAAGTATTTCGAGAAATGGGCAAAGAATGCGAAATAATAAACACGATAAAAATTAGAAAGCTGCAATATCTGGGACACGTAATAAGGGGACAGTGATATGAACTGCTGAGGCTGATAATACAGGGAAAGATAAGAAAAGGAAGAAGTATATTAAGAAGGAGAGCGTCATGGTAGAAGAATTTAAGGGACTGGTTTAAATGCAGTTCTATAGAACTCTTCAAAACAGCTGTAGATAAAGTAAAGATAGCGATGATATCCAACCTCCGATTGGGAAACGGCACTTAAAGAACAAGAAGGTTGCTAAGCTTGCCAGTCACCCTTTACATTTTATCTGCTTTTAGGACCGGCTGTGGCGGTAGATCTACTCAATCCATTCCGCAATTACTCCCACCAGCAGTTTTTGGACAGTAGTTTCCTTTCTTTCTCGAACTGCTCTAACTTTATCTTCAATACGTTTAGTTTATGTTTTATTTCAATATTTTATTTTTTAAGCTGTTGGTTACTTTGTTTGATACCATTTATTTTTTTAGTTTATGGAGTTCATTTTTCTATATTCTCGTTGTTCTCCTTTTATTTCTTTTACCTCTGCTGTTAAATATTTTGTGTGCTATATTAGATTTTGCATTATTTTTAAAAGCTTAATTTCTTAAAAGCTTAATTTTTCTTTCATCTTTCTGTTGTTTGGTAGGTGTTTTGGTGATTTTTCTGCTCTTGTTGAAAATATGTTCTTTGGATTTCCCTTTTTACTACCTTATGAGGTATAAAATTCATTTTTACTTAATGTATTTTTTACATTAAGCAAAAATGTTACATATTAAGGATAATTAATGACATTGATAGAAGTTGCTACATGGATAGAAAATTAAAAACGGTTGTAATATATTGTATATGTTTATACCAAGAATAAATTTATACTAAGAAACAACTGATTGCATGGTCACATTTTTAATGTCTTTTTCTTTTAATTGTTGTTTGATCTAAAGCACCATGCAGACAAACTTCTAGATTATGAAAGTTATATTTGACAGTTACATAAGTTTGCACGCGATTTCATTGTATAATAAGTAGTATGTAAAACAAGAGCAGATCAATAAGTTAATTATTAAACAAGTTTGAATCGACTCGACTGGTGATATTTGACTGTGGTAATTGCATACGTTATTAACAAATTCAAGTACATATATCAGATATTCACTTTAAACTTTGTCTTAAACATTAATGTACAATGATATTTGATAGTTGGATAAGTTTTTATTAACTGTTAATATGATATATCATCAATTAGCCAATCGCGTCCACTGCTGGACATAGGCCTCCCTCAGTTCTTTCCAGTGTTCTCTACACTGGGCCGCTTGTAGCCAGTTTACCGCTACACGTTTTGTATCATCGGTCCATCTATTCGGTGGTCGTCCTCGGCTTCTTTTATAGTTTCTGGGCCTCCGTTCCATAATACGTCTTGTCCACCGTCCATCTTGTATTCTGGCTAAGTGCCCTGCCCAGTTCTACTTAACCGTCGTGGTTCTTTCGATGACGTCTTGAACTCCTGATCTTTGCCTGATTTGTTGGTTTGTTATGTGGTCTCGAAGGCTCACGTTCAGCATTGCACGTTCCATGGCTCGTTGTGTAACTCTCAGTTTATTCGCAGATTTTTGCGTGAGTGTTAAAGTCTCTGCTCCATAAGTTTGTACAGGTAAGACACATTGGTTATAAACCTTTCGCTTGAGACATATGGGAATTGAGCTTTTTAGAATATGGCTTAATTTGACAAATGCTGCCCATGTTAGACCTATTCACCTCTGTATTTCATGTGTTTGATTGTCTTTACTTATTTTGATTTAGTGTCCCAAATATTTGTACGTATCTGTTTGTTGTATGGTATTATTGTCAATAGTTATATTTCCACTCATTACGAGATTTGTTATAAGTTTAGTTTTCTCAAAGTTTATTTTTAAACCTGTTCTTTCAGACAGACTTTAAGCGAATGCTTAAGAACTTAATCATAGAAACTGTCGCATGTAAGTTATCTAGGATTAATACAACATCATATGCAAATCTTAGGTGATTTAATCTTTCTCCATCTATATTGATGCCCATATCTTGCCATTGAGTGCTCTTAAATATTGACTCTAGAGCTGCCGTGAACAATGTTGGTGAAATATTGTCTCCTTGTCTAACTCCTTGACCTAAGCTGAATTTTTCTGTGTCTTCGTGTAGTCGTATACTTGATGTGGTGTTCTCGTAGATGTTTTTGATTAGTGTCGTGTACCTGTAATCTATTCGGCTTTGATTTAGAGCTTCCAGTATTGTTTCAAACTCTACAGAATCAAAAGACTTCTCGTAATCGACAAATGCAAGAACCAGTGGTATGTCCTACAAGCAAAACAACTACAACACAATGACCTTCGAGTTATAACAAATCTATATTATAAATAGAAGGCACACATATGCATTAATAAACACACATCAGAAGAGTTCGAAGTTAAAAGAAGAGTGCGACAGGGGTGTGTATTGTCACCACTACTATTCAATGCATACTCTGAAGAAATTATGAAAAGAGCTCTTAAGGAAGAAACAGCAGGAATCAAGGTCAATGGAACACTAATTAACAACATAAGATATGCGTACGATACTATCATAATAGCAGACAACCTCCAAGACCTCCAAAAGCTAATGAACAAGATAGTTGAGTATGGAGAAGAATATGGATTATCAATAAACACCAAGAAAACCAAATTTATGAGGATAGGTATCAAAACCCCAAAATAATGGTGAAAGCCTGACAATTAACGGTAGTGCTTTAGAACAAGCTGAAAATTACCACTATCTTTGCACAATAATTAATCACACAAACGATTACTCCAAATAAATCAAAGTTCGAATAGAGAAAGCACGTACAAACTTCAATAAAATAAGACAGGTACTTTGTGCAAGAGAACTAAAATTGGACTTGAGAGTTAGGCTGGCAAGGTGTTATATTTTCTCGATTCTGCTTTATGGAATAAAAGCATGGACACTTAACGCGTCAACTGCTAAAAAGTTGGAAGCATTTGAAATGTGGGTGTATAGAAGAATCCTTAAGATATCATGGACCGAGCATGTAACAAACAACGAATTCATGATACCTGGGGCATGTTATGCGTAATGAGAGATATAACCTATTTCAATTGATTATACAAGGGAAAATCCAGGCAAGAGAAGTGTAGGAAGAAGAAGAATCTCATGGTTGCGTAACTTGAGAGAATGGTACGGATGCACATAAATTGAACTATTCAGAGCAGCAGTATCTAAGATCAGAATAGCCATGATGATTGCCAACCTCCGTCGCGGAGATGGCACGTGAAGAAGAAGAAGAAGAAGTGGTATGTTGTACTCGATGCACTTTTCTATTAAGATCTTTAAGGTATGCAAATGGTCATTTGTGCCATATCCTGTCCTGAAGGCTGCCTGTTCTTTGGGCTGACAGAAATC